TATCTTTTATTTCCTTTCTTTGTCTATAGCGCATTAGCTGGTACTTCCAGTACAGTGTTGAAAAGGAGTAGTGAGGGGCGCCTGGGTGGCTCAGTCGTTAAGCATCTGCCTTCGGCTCAGGTCATGATCCCAGGGTCCTGGGATTGAGCCCCGCATCGGGCTCCCTGCTCCGTGGGAAGCCTGCTTCTCCCTCTCCCACTCCTGCTGCTTGTGTTCCCTCTCTCGCTGTATCTCTCTCTGTCAAATAAATAAAATCTTTAAAAAAAAAAAAAAAGAAAAGGAGTAGTGAGAGGGAGCATCCTTGCCATCTTTCTCTTAATGGGAAAGCTTTCCCTCTTCCATCTTAGTGGGAAAGCTTCATGTTTCTCACCATTAGGTATAATGTTAGGTGTAGGTTTTTTGTAGATCTTTTTTTTTTTTTTTTTTTAAATCAGGTTGAGGAAGTTCTTTTCTCTTCCCAGTTTACTTTTTTTTTTTTAAATCAAGAATGAGTGTTCAGGATTTTAAATGCTTTTTCTGCCTCTGTTGATATGTTCATGTGATTTTTCCTTTAGCCTGTTGTGATGGATTACAATGATTTTCAAATGTTGACCAGTCTTGCATGCCTGGGGAAAAAATCCCAATTGGTTGTGGTATGTAATTCTTTTTAAACATTGTTGGATTCAATTTCCTAATATTTTTTTGAGAATTTTGCATCTATATTTATGAGAGATAGTAGTCTATACTTTGTTTTCTTGTAATGTCTTTGGCTTTGGTATTAGGGTAATGCTGGCCTCATATGATGAAATACTCCCTCTTCTGTCTTCTGAGATTGTAGAGAACTAGTAGAATTTCTTCCTAATATGTTTGGTAGGATTCACCAGTGAACTATTCTGGGTCTGGTTCTTCTGTTTCAGAGAGTTTTTAATTATTGATTCAATTTCTTTGATACGAACCTATTCAGATTATTTCTTTTGTGAGTTTTAGCAATTGTGTCTTTCAAGGCATTATTTCCATTTCATCTAGGTTATCAAATATGTGGGCATAAAGTTGTTCATGGTATTCCTTTATTATCCTTTTAATGTCCTTGGGATCTAAAGTGATGTTCCCATTTTCATTTCTGTTATTAGTAATAATTCCTTTCCTTTTTTAGCCTGGCTAGAGGTTTATCAATATTATTGATCTTTTTAAAGAACCAGCTTTTTGGTTGCATTGATTTTTCTCTATTGATTACCTGTTTTCAATTCATTGATTTCTGCTCTAATTTTTCTTTTCTAATGCTTGCTTTGGATTTAATTTGCTCATTTTCTAGTTTCCTAAGGTGGAAACTTAGATGATAAATTTTAGATCTTTCTTCCTTTCTAATATATGTATTCAATGCTAAATTTCCTTCCAAGCACTGCTTTTATTGCATCCCATGAATTCTGGTGTTATCATTTAATTCAAAATATTTTTTTATTATGTTATGTTAATCACCATACATCATTAGTTTTTGATGTAGTGTTCCATGATTCATTGTTTGCATTTAAAATTTCTTTTGAGATTTCTTTTTTGACCCACATATTATTTGAAGTATGTTGTTTAATCTCCACATATTTGGGGATTTCCAGTTGTCTTTATCTTACTGATTTCTAATTTAATTACATTGTGGTCTGAGGGTAGATATTGTATGATTTCTATTCTTTAAAAATTTTCAGTGTTTAGACAAAAGCAGAGAGGGAGACAAACCATAAGAGACTCTAAATCTCAGGAAACAAACTGAGGGTTCCTGGAGTGAAAGGGGGGTGGGAAGGATGGGGTGGCTGGGTGATGGACATTGGGAAGGGTATTACTATGGTGAGCGCTGTGAATTGTGTAAGACTGATGAATCACAGACCTGTACCCCTGAAACAAATAATACATTATATGTTAATAATTAAAAACAATTTTTTTTCAGTGTTTTAGGACCAGAATGTGGTCTGTCTTGGTGAATGTTCCATGTGAGATTGAGAAGAATGTGTATTCTGTTGTTTCTGGATAAAGTAGTCTACAGATTATTGATTATATTCAGTTGATTGATGGTGCTTTGAATTCAACAACATCTTTACTGATTTTTCTCCTTGCTGTATCTGTCCCTTTCTGAGAGAGGGATGTTGAAGTCTCCAACTATGATAGTGGTTTTATGTATTTCTCTTTGCAGGTTTATTAGTCTTTACCTCCAGTAGTTTGATGCTCTGTTAGGTGCATACACATCAAGGATTATTATTTCTTTTTTAAAATTGACCCTTTTATCATTATATAAACCCTTTTTAATCCCCAATAACTTGTCTTGCTTTGAAGTCTGCTCTGTCTGAAATTAATATAGCTACTCCTGCTTTCTTTTGATTAGTGTTGGCATGGTATATTTTTCTCTATCCATTTACTTTTAATTTATGTGTCTTTATATTTAAAGTGTGTTTACTATAGACAACACATATTTGGGTCTTCTTTTTTTATCAGATCTGACAATCCTTTTTATTTAAAAAAAATTTATTTGAGAGAGTTAGTGTGAGTGGGGGGATCTCAACCAGAGTCCCCACTGAGTGCAGAGCCCGCTGTGGGGCTCGATCCCATGACCCATGGTCATGACCTGAACCAAAACCAAGAGTCAGATGCTCAAACAACTGAACCACCCAGGCACCCCAAAATCTGTCTTTTAATTGGTGCATTTGGACCACTGATGCTCAAAGTGATTATTGATATATTTATATCTACCGTATTTGTTACTATTTTCAATTCTTTGCCCTTTTTCTTATTTTTCTTTTTTTGGCTTTAATTGGGCATTTTATATGATTACGTTTTCTCCTTTTTATATCATACTTTTTTTTTTTTTTTACCTTTTTTAGTGGTTCCCATAGAGTTTTCAATATAAACTTACAACTAATCCAGGTTCGCTTTCAAGTAATATTATGCCACTTTATGGGTAGTGAGAATACTTTATAATAACAAAATAATCCTAATTCCTCCCTTTTGTCCCTTCATTGTTATCATTCATTTCATTTGTACATAAGCACACACAAAGTACACGTAGTTGAATATAGTGTTTCTATTATTTTGAACAAAGTTATCTATTAGATCAGTTAAAAATAAGAAAAATGAAGGTTTTAATTTTACCTTCACTATTCCCTCTCTGATGCTCTTCCTTTCCTCTGGATCAGAGTGTTTCAAACCTGTATCATTTTTACTCTCTAAAGAACTTTTAATATTTTTTGCAAGACAGCTCTCCTGCCAAAAATTCCTTCAATTTTTGTTTTGAGAAAATCTTTGTCTTCACTTTTGAAGACCACATTCTGGGTCCTAAAACACACTGAAAATTTTTACAGAATAGAAATCATACCGTTCCTGCTTACTTTGAGCTATGCTACAGAATTCTAGGTTGGTGGTTTTCCCCCCTCTCAACACTTAAATATTTACTCCTCCCTCCTTCCTTCCATGGTTTCTGCAAAGTTGGATGTTATTCTTAAATTACTTTTCACCTATAAGGTAGGTAGCAATTTGTCAGCTGCTGTTCAGGTTTTCCTGCCCTGGCACGATTCCCTTGGAGGTAACTGCTCCAGTAGGTTGTAGTTTTCTAGCTTTGCCTGTCTCTCCCATTTGGGAGACAGTGGCTTGCACTTTGACCTCACTTCCCTTATGGATCTAGGAAGAGCTGTTTGTTCAGCTTTTTCTTGCTATTAGGACAGAGTAGCAACTTCTAAACTTCTTACATGCAGGACTGGAAACTGGAAGTCTAGAATTCTTAGTTCAAAGTAATTTTTTTTTGTCTTCATATATTCTTGTCAAAGAGAGGCCTGATGCCAGTAGTGTTAACTTGTATATAATTTGTTTTCCTTAGCCTCTGGCAGTTTTTAGGATTTGTTCTGTAGTGTTGGTACTTTGAAATTTTCCTTTTAAAACATCATCTGGTTCTATACTGACGGGGGATGAACCCTTTAGAACCCAAGACTCCAGACCAAAGGAATCTCTTCCACTCGATTTGTCTCTCTACATTTTCTCATTTATCTCCTCTCTGTTAGGTAGATGTTGTAATTTTTGGACCTGTCTCAGTACCTTTTAGCTTCATACTTTCTCCATCTGTACTTCTAGGGTGAGTAATGGGAGACACCTTGTGATCATCCTGCTGACAGCTTTGCTCTTCAGCTGTATCCCTTGACTATTTGGCCTGATTTTTTTTTTTTTTAATTTAATGGCTCTGATATCCTCTTCTATGCCTCTGGGATATTTAATAGAGTTCTTTATTCTGTGGACTTTAAAAAAATTTTTTGTTGTTTGGGCCTTTCATATTATTGGCTTTCTTGAAATATTTCAGTGATTCATGGTTGCAGTTTATTTAGTTGCTCACTTTTGTGTTGCAGTTTCTTTTTGTGGATTTTTTCTTAAGATTTTATTTATTTGAGAGAGAGAAAGTACACAGGTGGGGGGGGCGAGGAGCAGAGGGAGAAGACAAGCAGACTCCACGCTGAGCATGGAGCCTGATGCAGGGCTTCCTATCATGACCTGAGCCAAAACCGAGTGGGATGCTTAATCGACTGAGCCACCCATCGGTGGATGGGAGCAGTGAGCTGTGCTGCCAGGTGAATATATGCCAGTATTTTGATTCTGAGTATAGGGTGCTCTTCTCTTGAGGGTAGGCAAGTACCTGGGGGGCACTGCCCTGCTTCTCCAGTTCCAATAGCTTCACTTACTGTTGTGGAATAGGTTGGGTATAGACATCCCTTCTACCTACCACTTGGCCCATAGTTGGGGAATGGGACTTATTTAGCTATTCTGCATCAACTCCCTAATGAATCACCCTGCCCAGTACCCATCAGTACCCTCCTACTCTCTGCATCTGTTGATTCTAGGTTCTAACCCATTCCTCTGTTTGTAGTAGTCTTTACTGGTTTTGTGTTGTAGTTACCTCATTTTATTTGCCTATAGCTTTGATTCCATCTGCCCTTTTTTTTAAAGAAATTACAGTTTTATAATTTTCTTTGTTGCTTCTTAATCCACTGAAAATAATTTCATAATATAATATTTTTAGGGATCTTCTTTGTTACTTTCTGCGGTTTTACTTCTTTAGACAACAATGGCTTGATCTTTAGTAACAAACCTTCACTTGTTGAAGTATGAAGGAAAGCTCATACCACGAAGGTCCCAAACTGAGTGGTCTGTGCTTATAAATTTCACTGATAACTGCTGGCAGATTTGCAGCTATCTGGTCACTTAGCGTATGCAGTGTTTCTGTTTTGGTCTCGAGAAAGTTCACCCTTTCTTCATCTACTTTAATTTCATGTCCAATTTTAAATAATTCAAGCATTTTGGGGATGTCACGGCCAATGGAATTTCGAGTTGGTTTTGGAAATCTTTTTTTCAGCTTTTTCTTTAATGGATTAAGCTCGGGCATTATTTCTGGAACAGCTACATAAAAGTCTGATTGAATTTCATCATCCAAAATCTTCTGAATTAGATTAATTCCTCCTGCAAATGCAGCTCCATTTTCTTCTGCTATTTTAATCTCTGCTGCATTCCCTGTAAATACAGCAACTTTATTGATTTCTGAAACGAATGGGTATGGAAAACAAAGAACACTGGCAAATGGCTCCACTTTTTTCTTCTTCCCCAGTGCCATATCCAGTGTCAAATCAAGATAAACACCTTACTTTAGATTAGTAAACTCTAGAGTTTAAAATTTCTTAAGTAACTGAATAGCTTTCTCCACCTCCTATATCTGCCTTGGATATAAGTGCTTTAAGTAGACATCATCCTCAGGTTCACCTTCCATAAAGCAGTAGGACTTTATTTTTTCTATTTCATCTTTTTTCTCATCTGATGCTTTGTCTTTCACACCTTTTTTTGTTTTCTTTGCAGGCTTTGTAGCAGCAGCAAAATGTCTGCTGGGCACCTGAACATGTAGAACAAGGATGTGTCTGATAAGCCATCTTGGAAAGACTATACTTTTGATGATGTATCAAAACTCTACTGAGGCACCTTATGGCGGTCACCATGTTGACCATTCCCGATTCCAGCTGCTTTTGATGTTTCTGGCATTTTTCAAAATGTCTACTTTTGCTAGCTCCTATTTTTCAGTACTGTAGCAGATTTTTTAATTTTTCAGTACTGTAGCAGATTTTTTTAATTTTTCCTCTGCTTTAGCACTTTATATAGGATTTAGCATTAAGAGGGATAGTAGGTGGTTCTGTCCTGTCTGCCATCTTGATCCAGTCTTACTACCACTTTAAGAAAACAGGACAAAAACTCTTCTGTAGCCTTCCTTTTATTCCAGTTAATTTCCTTGAAAAGAACTAGTGTTACCGTGGCTCCCGGGATGGTCCTCTAGTTATAAAATACGTTGTACTATTATCATTCACATAAAGTATTATTTACAAGGAACTATTGAAATATCACCTCTTTGCTCTCTAACATGCACAACTTTGTGATGCACCTATCGATACTAAAAAGCAGTTCCTAGAATACTCTTAGGGATCATGAAATAGTTTTAGTGATAATTGATTTTATTTGCATTGAAAGATTAGGGATAATAGAACTATCTTAAAAACTACTCGGTTGATCAGGATCATACTGGTGTAAAATGTTTTTTGTCCTCCTTTTTTAACAATGAATTAGACATGCATCCATGAACAAAAGCACTGTTGTGGGAGTTGTGGGAATGAGCACCATCTGCCAAGGGACCTGGGAGGAGTCTTGCCCACCTGCACATCCAGTAAGAGGCAGACAGACCTTGTTACAGGCTGCAGAACCAGCAAAACTGCCTCAAACCTTCTTGCTGCAATAAGGGACAAACCTGGAGAGTGCTGCCTAGGTGGATATGCATGGATGACAATTCACAAAAATCCAGACTTTACAAGAGGAGATTCCAGCACACCATGGGAGCAAAAAACAAGTTTGGTTCAGTTAGGACTATAAGAGGAACTTTCACAAAGCAACACTGCACAGGGCTGAACTATCCAGCAGTGGTAACTCCTCTCATGGGGGAAAGGAAAGCAGTGAGTGCCTGGCTACCCCAGTGGTGAGGGACCTTTATAACTGGGGCTAGGGTGGTCTGGGAAAGAGTGAAATAATATTGAAGGGCATTAAAGGAATGTAGTTCCTGCTGACAGTGCTCAGGAAGTCTGCCCACAAGCCTCTGGGCATGATTCACCCAAGTTTCACCCCACTGGGTCAGGTCCACGGGCACCTCCAATACCCCAAGGGCTAAACCAACATCTCCACCGACCCTGCAGTCAGCTCCTTGTACATGCTGGAGTGCAAATGCAACAGTAAGTTGAGTAAACACCATCAGAAAGACCAGGTTAGGTGGGCTAGAGAGAAACCACAAACTTGAGCTATAGCACCACCTTCTGGAAAATGAGAGGATTCCAGTGGGCACTGGTGAGTGGTAAGAACCAGGGAAGCCACAAAAGCTTAAGAATTCTTCCATAAGAGGGACAAGAAGAGTGTATGTATCCAGGTATATCTATACAAAAGCAGAGAAAACCCCAAATATAACAGCACCAATGAATAGTATACCCCATCTGAAGGCAACTGGTAAAGATTTAAGGAGATGTCAGCTACTTCAAATGTGAAAGGAGCAAGCCAAAAAACAGGAACAGGAAAAATCAAGGGAACACATCATCACCAAAAGAAAATAATTTTCCAACAACCATGCTCTCAAAAGTATGGAATTTTGCGATCTCCTGATAATTCAAAATAGCTGTTCTGAAGAAACAACGAACTACAAGAAAACTCAGACAATTCAATGTAATCAGGGGAAAAAAAATACATGAGCAAAATGAGTTATTTACCCAAGGGATAAAAATCATAAGGAACCAAAAAGAAATTCTGAAGGTGAAAAATTCCATGAATAAAATGAAAAAAAAAAAAAATGCAACAGAGAACATCTGCAGCAGAATAAAAACAAATGGAAGATAAAATAAGTGATTTAGAGGACAGGAATTCAGAAATAACACCGTGTAGAAAAAAAATGAATAAAAAAGAAGAAAGCCTGTGTGATTAATAGGATTCCATCAAAAGAACAAATATTAGAATAACTGGGGTTCCAGAAGGAGAAGAGATGTAGAAGGCGGGCAGAAAATTAAAGAAATAATGGTCAAGAACTTCCCAAAGATGGGGAGAGATTTGGACATCCAAGTTCATGAAGCTAACAGGTCACCCTAGGATCTTAAAGCAAAAAGACCTTCTCTAAGACACATTATAATAAAACTGTTAAAAATCAAAGATAAAGAGAGAATCCTAAAAGCAGCCAGGGGAAAAAGCCTGTAACCTACAGAGAAACTCCTGTTAGGCTATGAGCAGATTTCTCAGCAGAACTATAGGTCAGGAAAGAGTGGAATCAAAGTGTTGAAAGAAAAAAATTACCAGCCAAGAATAATCTATCTGGCAAAGTTATACCTCAGGTATGAAGGAGAAGTATTTTCACACACAAAAACAGAGGGAGTTCGTCACCACTAGTCTAGCCTTGCAGTAAATGCTGAACGGAGTTCTTCAAGCTGAAAAGACACTAATCAGCAACATGAAGACACAGGAAAACATACTGGTGAAGATGTTGTATATGCAGTATATGTACATACAGTCAGAAAACTCTTAATTCTGTAATAGGGTGTTTGTTAACCACTTAACTATAGTATAAAACTTAAAGGGGAAGAATACTAAAAATGATAGCTACTATAATTTGTTAATAAACATTATAAAGAGTAAATAATGACTTCAAAATATAGAAAGGAAAAGCAAAAGGATGAAGCTTTTTAGGCAATTGAAGTTCAGTTGCTATCAGCTTAAAATCCTATGAGATATTTAATGTAAGCCTCATGGTAACCACAAAGCAAAAACCTAGAATAGATTCACAAAAGATACAGAAAGGGGGAAAGAGAACATACGACCATGAAAGGTCACCAATTTACAAAGGTACGCAGAAACAGAGGGAAAAAGAAAAAATGGAAATATGAAACAACTGGAAACCAATTAATAAGATGGCATTAGTAAGTCCTTACCTATCAATAATTCTAAATATAAATGGGTTGAATTCCCTAAAAAGGCAGAGTAGCTGGAAGGATTAAAAAAAAAAACCAACTATATGCTGCCTACTAGAGACTCACTTCAGCTTGAAGGACAAAAAAACTCAAAGTTACAGGATAAAAATTAGCATACAGAATCAGTTTGCATGTCTATACACTAATACTGAAACATCTCAAAAAACAAAGCTATCCCATTTACAATAAAATACTTAGGAATAAATTTAACCAAGGATGTGAAAGATTTGTACAATGAAAACTACAAGACTTTGATTAAAGACACTGAAGTCGCAAACAAATGGGAGAGATATCCCATGCTCATGGATCAGAAGAATTAATATTGTTAAAATTCTATACTACCCAAAGCCATCTACAGATTGGACAAAAACCCTATCAAAATTCCAATGGCATTTTTCAAGAAATAGAATAATCCTAAAATTCGAGACCACAACTAGCCAAAGCAATCCAAAAAAAGAAATAAACCAGAGGCATCTCACTTCTTGATTTCAAACTATACTACAAAGCTATAGTTAAAATAGTATGGTACTGACATAAAAACAGACACAGAGACCAGTGGAACAGAATAGAGAGCTCAGACATAAACCCTTGCACACACAGTCAACTACTATTTGACAAGGGAGCCAAGAATATTCAGTGGGAAAAGAAGTTCAACAAATAGTGTTGGGAAAACTGGATAACCAGAAGCAGAAAAATGAAATTGGACCCGTTATCTTACACCACTCACAAAAATTACTCAAAATGGATTGAAGTGTTAGAAGATCTGATACTGTAAAATTCATAGAAGAAAACATAGGGAAAAGGTCCTTCAATTGTGCAATGATATTTTGGATATGACCCCAAAAGGACAGGCAACAGAGGCAAAAACCAACAAGTAGGACTACATCAAACTGAAAAGCTTCTGCACAGCAAACAAATAATAAAAAAAAAAAGAAAAGGCAACCTATGGAATGGGAGACATTTGCAAATAATCTACCCAGTAAGAGGTTAATATTCAAAATACATAAAGAACTCATACAATAACAAAACAAAAAAAAATCCAATTAAAAATGGGCATAGGAACTAAACAGACATTTTCCCAAAGACATATAAATGGCCAAAAGGTACATGAAAAGGTGCTCAACATCACTAAGCATTAGGGAAATGCAAATGAAAACCACAATGTGATACCACTTCATACCTTACTAGAATGGCTATCATCAAGAAGACAAGAGATAACAAATGTTGGTGGGGATGTGAGCATAAAGAAATGCTTGTACACTGTTGGTAGGAATGTAAATGGGTGGAGCCAATATGGAAAAAAATTATGGAGGTTCCTCAAAAATTAAAAATAGAACTACCATATCATCCAGCAATTCCTCTTCTGGATATATATCCAAAGGAAATGAACAAAGGATTTCAAAGAGATATTGCACTACTATGTTTACTGCAGCATTGTTCACAATAGCCAAGATATGGAAACAATCTAAGAGTCTATCTAAACAGATGAATGGATACAGAAATTATGGTACACACACACACAGCAATATTATTCAGCCATGAGAAAGAAGGAAATCCTGCCATTTGTGACAACATGGATGCATACTTGAAGGCATTAATACTAGGTGAGATAAGGGGCGCCTGGGTGTCTCAGTCAGTTAAGCGTCTGCCTTCGGCTCAGGTCATGATCCCAGGGTCCTGGGATCGAGCCCCGCATCGGGCTCCCTGCTCAGCGGGGAGCCTGCTTCTCCCTCTCTGCTGCTCCCCCTGCTTGTGCTCTATCCCTCTCTCTCTCAGATAAATAATAAAAAAATCTTAAAAAAAAAATTAAAAAAAAAAAACTAAGTGAGATAAGTCAAACACAAATACTATATGGTATTATTTATATGTCAAATCTAAAAGAGCCACATTCATAAAAGCAGAGGGGCGCCTGGGTGGCTCAGTTGGTTAAGCAACTAGTTGACTCTTGGTTTCAGCTC